AAAAAATCTACCCATTAGCTTAAAAATCCCCCCCCCATAAATGAACGTCGTATAGGCATTTGGTTTTATGGGCAGCAGGAGTAAGTGTCGGCGATATGTGTTACAAGAAAATAACATCGAATGGTCATAAGTGGTAAATTTTATTGTGGGGCAGGGATGCTCTGGTTAATTGTTAGATATCTGATGTTGGTACAGATCCTGATTCAGTACATATATCGTCTGGGCAGCGCAAGCACGCAGGATAAGCAGCAGCAGTAAGTAGGCAAGTAAGTAGCAGACAGGCAGCAGGCGAGCATAACAGAAGAGAACAGGCAGAGTACAAGTGGGCAAGCAGCGATGTGCAAGTCAGACAAGTAGCAGCAGGGTAACAGTAGAGCAGTAGCAGGAGTAAGTAGGTATGTAATAGTAACAAGCGCCAATCAGCAGCGATAGGCAGCAGCAGAGCACAGTCAGGCAGTAGCAGTGTAAAGGCAACAGATGCAAGGAGAGAGACATAAGTGGCAGCGCAAAAGACGCAGCGGCGATGCAGGTGAGTCAAGAAACAGAGAGCAAACTGAAGCGAGCAGTAGTAGGATAGCAGCAGTAACAGGGCAGAAAACAGCAGCATAAAACCGGCGAGGCACAGTAGCAAGGCGAGTAACAGCAGATAAGCAGCAGTAAACAAGCAGCAAGCAGTCAAGCCGAGCAGCAGTAAGCAAGCAGCAGCAGTAAGCAGCAGTTAACAGCAGGCAGCAGGGCAACAGCCGCAGTACCAGCATGCAAGCAGTAGCAGCAGTAACGAGCCAGTCACAGAGCAACAGCAGTAGCAGCAGCGAACAGCAGTTAACAGGCAGTAAGCAGCAACAGCTACTCCTGCGTGTAGATCGCAGCACGACCACCTATATCGCCAGGCAGCAGGCAGCTCGCAGCCAGGTGCGGCGTCCCCTCACGGAGTGCAGCGAACCGCCCAATATGACTCCTACCTTGACTCCCAAACACGGAGCACAAGGAGTTTGTTCGGCCTGAAATGAACGCGATACAAGGCGCGCCAGGCGCGTAAAACGTCAGCAAGGCGGCCCTCCGAGGGCTCCCCCTAGCGGCTCCGCCCGGATGTTGCGTGAAAGCTATCGCGGACAGCGTCACTGAGAAGAAGGAGCCGTGACCGCCGTGAGAGGATGAGGGCCAGTGCGGATCCTGCTGGTCGTCAGCACCGTGAGTGCTTCTGTCGTTGTCGTTAGTGTTTCGCACCATTTGTGTTGTGGGATTTGTATTTGTGGTGAGCCTTCTGCGCCACCGTAGGAAAGTGTGTGCATAACAAGTTTCATATTACACTTACACATACTATTACTTGAATTACATTGCCTCCCTAAATATAAGAAATATTTTTCACTGGGAACAAAATAAAATATTTAACAAAATTTAATAAGATCACATACAGGATTTATTCATATCAACAGTTTTGTTCGATATGTACAGTATTACTATGAACATGTCTTTACAAGAGTATAGACTATATTTACCATAGATTATTGTATAGATATGTTCATGTTATTACATATAAACCCAAATGCACGACAGTATACTGAGCCTTTCAGTATCTGTTCCACACATAAACAATGGCTAGCTATATGCCACATAACCAATGTATGTTTCAAATTATAATGAGAAATAAATAACAGTGTGATTCTAAAAAAGGTGCCAGTGTGTGATTGAAAAATCAATTTGCATTGGCAGAATATTGCTAGTGCGCTGCCCTGACAGAGATGGCGAATGTTTAGACATTTATATCTATTTGTGCATGGTACATACAGGAGTGTATAATAATAGATATAGTCTATTATTATACACTCCTGGTACATACACATGTACGATGCGACGAGGCTGTTTTACGATCTGAATATGGCCATCTGATATGCATAACAGACGAGTAAACAGTTGACAAATACTTTGTTGTGTCATGCAAGTTCACAGTGTTATTGTTAAATGTGCCACATATATATATATATATGTCCAATGCCACATGTTGATAGATAGAAAATCGACTTCGAAATCATTCCTCACCGTAAAAAGCACAGATCGTAACGCTTCGAGTATTATTCCGCAAAACATAGTGATGCGTACACACGTCACGAAGAAACACTGCACAAATCTTCGAGCTCCACACACATACACACACTCCAACAACGCGACAGCAAACACATTATTTTCGCGCCCCCCACTCCCCCCCAATCCCACCACCACTCCAGGGCAAATCCGGGATAACGAACGGGACGACTCCCCGACGCGTGACAACCCTACTATCGAGAAAACATTTCTTTCTCGCAAGCCGAACGGAGATCGATCGATGCCCCCTGCAGGCACTGACTACAACGTTGACGATGACGGCAGCAACGACGACATTGACGACGACTACGGCGACAATGATGGCAGCGTCGATGATGACGACGACGGCGACGACGACTTGCCCTGCTAGGACAGCGGCACGTGAAAGTCTGGCACGTCGAACACCAGGGGGCGCGTCCTCGGCTCCGGGTCCTTCTCGGGCCGGTGGAGGAGTCGGAAGAGCCCTGTTCCGAGGTTCATGGGGATGCCCATGATGATGCACTCGCTGACGCCGCAGACGGCATCCTTCTGGCCGTGGTACGCCGCGTCGAACAGATGGTCGGCTGTCTTCTCAAACTGGAACAGATAGAACAGAGCACAGTAGCAAGTAGTCGTATCGATAGCAGTAGCAGTAGCAGCAGCAGCAGCAACAGCAGCAACAGCAGCAGAAGTAGTAGCAGCAGCAACAGCAGCAACAGCAGC